CTGCCAAAATTCTCCAAGCCAACTTCATCATCCCTGCAATATTAAATCCCCTATACCACGCACTCCTAGGCCCCCCTCAGCTTGAGGTAAACAAATTGTTGTCCATTTGACAAGATGCACCCCCTTCTTTTTAGCCACCCCTGCTTATAGAAAATTCCACTGCAATCGTTCAATCATATTACAAGTTCGTTTTGGTAAAATAAATGATAGAATCCAGAATATTGATGAAGCACATAAAACTGATTTCAACAACTGAAGACGCCCTTCATAAGATAGGGTTAAAGTTTGCCAAGAGCCTATCCTTCCAATAATTTTACCCACCAAGCTATGGCATTGACTATGTTTCAAATGGCCATGAAATAAGGCAACCCCAGATAACGTATTGGGAGAAGGCCTTCACCAAACCCTAACTCCCTCATAATCAATGATTTGTTTCCCTATGAGACCCCATAAAAGGCTTTGCTTTTGACAATATTAACGCTCTAACCTGTAGTGTTGCTTCAAAACTGGAGAGAACTGATTTAAAAGCAACAACAGTAGTAATAGAAGCATCACAGAAATCATAGCATCATCAGCATAAAACAAATGTTATACTTCATAATCACAACCTGAAGGAAAAGCTCTAGGAATCATACCTTGCTCATTCACAAAATCCAACTGCCTACTCAAAAAGTCCATCACCAACAAAAAGAGATAACGAGATAGGGGATCTCCTTGTCTAAGGCCTCTTTTCCCCTTAAAATACCCCTTAGGAGATCCATTATGCAATACAGAGAAGGAAGGTGTAGATATGCATAGCCTAACCATGAAATAAACATATCCAGAAATCCCAAAGCCTTCATACGTGCAGTAACAAATGACCAAGATACTCTATCATAAGCACTACACAAGTCTAGTTGCAAACACATTTTAGGCTGATTAGTGTTTTTGTTGCATATAGATATGAGTTCATTTGCCATGAGGATGTTATCTGTAATAAGTCTACCTTTCAAGAAAGTAGCTTGTCTCGGATCAATCAAGTCATTGAGTACTACCCGTAAGTGGTTAGAAATGATTTTTCTTATAAATTTATACAAGACATTGCATAAACCAATTGGGCAAAAGTCTTTCATAACTAAAAATTGGGCAAAAGTCTTTCATAACCGTAGGGGTATTTACTTTAGGAATAAGAGAGATAAAGGTAGAATTGATTTGTTTGAGAAATTTACCTTTCTTAAAGAAGTCATTGAGAGCGAGAAATAAATCCTTCTTGAGCACCTCCCACCGAAATTTATAAAATTCGATGGTAAAACCATCAGGGCCCGAAGCAATCTCACATTTCATCCCCCAGATGCGATCCTTTATTTCCTCCAAATAGACATCCTCAACCAGCTTCTCTTGCTGATCAGTGCTAAGCAAAGATGGTCGGAAATACTGTTCAGTCATACTAGCATCGAACCCAATCACATGAACATCAATATCTGTTTCCAAAACCAATAAATTTCCATTTTAATCCTTGAGGTAGACAATATGATCACTTATCCTTTTGATCACATTATATAAATGAAAAAACCTTGTATTAGAATCCCTGTCCTTTAACCAATTTTTCCTGGACTTTTGTCTCCAAATATTCTCTTTATGGCCCAATAACTATTGCAGTCTTCTAGTACATTCCTTATCCTCTATCATTAAGTTTTCATTTGAAGGGTCACTGCACATATTATCATGTATAGAGGATAGTTGCTGTCGAACTACTGAGATAGAATGACTTACATAACTTCCTTGATCCAAACAGGCAAATCCCTCCTTAATCTTTTCAACTTTGTAACAAAGCGGAACATAGGTGTGCCCCCTACCATACCTTGCCAAGATGCTGAAATAACATCAATAAAATCTATAGTCTTTTCCAAGGTCGAGAAGTATTTAAAGGGTTTGGCCCGACTTGGCCCAAATTTGATATCGATACCAGCAAAGGACAATGATCAAAATTACCCTTTGGAAGCAACTCTACTTTAGATTCTTGGTATGCCAGCACCCAATTTGTGTTTGCCAAAGCATGATCCAATCTCCTTCTAGCACATCTTCTACGAATCTGATTATTAGACCAAGAAAAAACCCAATTTCGTTTCTAAAAGAAATAATAACCCCACATTATTCTGATTTTTAAGGACTCCAATATCCGAAACTCTGCCATAGCCCTGAAGGCCACGGACATTCCATGATACAACTGACATATATAGACTAGGAAATAGAGGGCTTTCCAGAAGGGGGCTTACCTTTGCGAACCAGTGGAGTACCCTGAGAAGAACGTTGTACCTTATGAGAGGTCGCTTTCCTTCCTCCAAGAGATATTGAAGGAGTTGTTACGTTGGAACGAAGTTTGGCTTTATACATCCCATCATCAGCAACATGTTGTTGCATATGGCGAGAGCTATGCCCCGTATCAATGCCCTCACTCTCAACAATATATATATATATATATAC